TAAAACCTAATATATATAGGTGTGTATATGTGTATATATACACACACCAATATGATGTATAATATATATAATTTAATATATATATATTTATACACACACCCCCCAATACAATGAATAATATATACATTGTACTGAAAAAATATATATGTATATTTTTTCAGTACAGTGTGAACTATAGAGGTACAGTATTATTATTTTTAGCATAAGCGCCCCACAGAAAGCAACCAAGATCCCAGAATGCCAGGGGGGGCCACCTGCAGGTGTTTCCAATCCGGATGTGTATGTGCGGGGGGGTTATCGCCATGACGCTAAGCACCAGAGGCTGAAATTACTTAATTACATCAAATCAGTCTCTTGAAATAACACAGCTTTAAACTTAACCATGGGTTTTCACATCTGTGACATCAGAATGGCTAAAACTACATGTGAGGATTAAAAATTATTTATCCAAAATGAATCTACAAAAAATTAAATTTTAAAAATAACTCTGAATATAGAATATATAGAAAGGAACATAGCACAGACCAAATAGAAATAGTTACTTTAAAGACTAGGAAATATAGTTTTAAAGGCAATCTTTAAATACTTAGTTTCTCTGATGCTCTTATTCCTCTTCAATTTTACACATAATTGTTCTATATACGTGTTTGTGTGTGTGTGTATATATAATATATATTATGTTATAATATATATTCCCATTTCATGTATGAAATACAAAGAATTGCTTAATCTTTTCATATTATCTAATATTATCTATCGGAGACAAATGGAGCATTTGATACGTTCATGCAGTTAATTAGAAGAGTGCCCTAAAATCTGTATAAGGAATAGATTGCTCTTTTATGGTGTGTAAGAAATAACTATTCTCAGTAGTGCTGTTTATGGTCCACCCCACTAAGCCTCTCTGGCTCCACTGAGAAATTGTACTTGGTAGCATCACCTTTCAAAGTAAACTAAAACACCACTCAAGAAAACATGCTCTATGAATCAGGAGAAGCCTTGTTTATAGAAAGATCTTACTATTTTATGATGCTGTGGTCTTCTGGGTACAGGGCGAGACATAGTGTGGAGATGAAGAATGCTGTCCTCAGTTCCTTTTCTCTGGTCAGTGCTTAGAAGTGCATCGGCCTTGATTCTTTCTGAAATGTCTCCTCGCTTTGAGACAGAAATTCTACCTCTGCACACTACTGCTTTTGCTCTCTGCTGAAATGAAGAGAAAAGCAAAATGCAAGCAACAGGACTGCCTTGTACCTACGTAATGGTCACTGATCAAATAATTGCTTCATTTATAATAAGTTGTAATCTAGACCCATAAAATCTAATAGTGTGAAGTCAGACCAGAAGTACAAAGACATTAAAAGTTCTTTAGCCCTAGGGAGTTCAAGAGTGGTATTTTGTTTGCATGCCAACACATTGTTTTAAAATCACAAACAGAAACCTTCACAATCCAAGACAAATCTCACTGTTAGCATTATTCCATCTTGTATTGATTGTCCTATGAATTAGAGACAGGATCAGCAAACTTAGGCACCAAATCCTGGATCCAAACCTGACTGGCAAGTCAGATGGGTGCCACGCTGTCCTTAGAACCTTGACTTCCATCTTCTGTGACTGCAGTGCCCCAATATACCCAGTGTCCCTTCTTTTCACAGTCATTCATCAGCAATTTCAAGGAGTGATGGGTGGGTGATAGTTTCTTACAGAACTCAAGGTGTGTGCTGTACGCTTTAACAATGTTTAAAGATACTGGCAGGGTGAGGCCTTGGACTTCTTTTGCTGGGCCCTGAGATCTTGGGTATCAAAGGCTGTCTTTACTTATGCAGAAGTACAGATATTTAAAATCCCATTTTAACAACTTCAGGGTGCAGGCGATCAAGCCCATTCCAGAAACAGCAGCATAAAACTCAGCCTAGAAAAGTCATTTCCTATTCCTTATAGTTGCCAACAACCAGCCGTGTCTGTTCTGCCACATTCTTGCTGTAAAGTGACCCACCAGTGACTGCTTTGAAGACAGCTGGGGCGTAGTTGAAAGAGTCTGGGAAGATTGGGAAGCTCAGGCTCCGGCGCAGGTCTGCCCATTGCTGTCTGTGCGGCTTTGGACTCCACACTTCAGCGCTCTGTGGCTCAGTTTATACATCTCAGTTTATTGCAATAAAAACAATACCGACCTCCTGGAAAGCTGTGAGTATGGAAGAGGTAACAGGTGCTGTAAAACACATTACAATGCACCACACGAAGCCTAATGAATGCAGGCCATTCTTGACACTGACGATAATGAAAGGAACTCCACCGTGATGAAGGCGTTTCCATGAGTGCCCTTGTCCTGTGACACCATTATCTCAGGGAAACCACTTTGCTCACTTTGCTGATTGATAGCAACTTGCATTTAGGTAAAATTTACAGCTAACGTGGTTTTCATTCTCTTTATCTATTTTAATACAACCGCAATCTGTGAAGTAGTCAGTACTATAGTCATTGACATTTTAAACAATAGAAATTTATAAAATTAAAAGGCTGAGAAACTTGTTCAAGAATATCTGGATAGCATGCAACAAAGGGTGATTTGAGATAAGATTGCTGTTTCCAATAAAGACAATTTTACGATGCATGATTCAGATGTGTCAGAGCACAAAGGCATCTTACATCTTAGTATTACTACAGATGCACAGTACCAATGTTTACATTCCTTGTGGTGAGTTGGGGCCTGTGCTCAACATTGATTCTTCTCTCATCCCCTTCCTCTTCCCTCTTTCCCTCTTCCCGCCATTTCTTGATCTCACTGTTACTTGAAAAGATCTATCTCACTACCTCCTCTGACCTCTCTCTTATTTTGCTCATTTATATTTCACGTTTCTCACATAAAAGAAACTATGCAATATTTACGCTCGTGTGTCTGATTTATTTCACTTACCTTTATGGTCTCAGGATGCATTTTTTTAACCTACAAATGACTCAAACTTATTCTTTATCCCAGAATAGTACTCCATTATTTGTAAATAGTACATCTTCTTTCTCCATTCATCTGTTGATGGACATACAGGCTGATTCCAAGATTTAGCTATTAAGAATTGTGGTGCTCTAAGGGTCACATTGAATTTCTACTTTAGATTTTTGAGAAATCTTCATATGGGTTTCCCTAGTGGTGGTACCAGTACATTCCTACCATCAGTAATGTAAATGTGTTCCTTTTCCCCTACAACTTCACCAGCATTTGGTATTATTTGATTTCTTGATGGTGGCCATTCTTTCTGCAATAAGATGGAATCACAGTGTTGTTTTGATTTTCATTTCTCTAATGGCTGTGTTGTTGAACATTTCTTCATGAATTTCTTGGTCATTTGTAATTTTGTAATGTGTCTATTCATTTTGCTAGCCCCTTTTTTGGATTGGGCCTTTCACTTGGGGGAGTAATTTTTTAGTTCTTTATACATCCTACATATTGGCTAATCTGCTTAAGGAGTAGCTTGAAAATTTTCTCTCCCTCTGTAGGTGGTCTCTTTGCTTTGTTGGTTGTTTCTTTAGCTGTGCAGGTATTGCGGGTGGCAAAACTGGAGCTTTAAACCCAGTGTCGTGCTTTTCTCTACTCCTCTTATTCGTTCCTTCTCCTCCCATCCTTTCTGCACCCATCCATCTCTCCTCCTTCTGCTGTTCCTGGTCTTCTCCTCTCCTTCTGGCCACACATAGACAACCCTGTTTCACCTAGACCTTTCACACAAGCACAGTTTTCAAAGAGCCTTGGAAAGGTGTGTGGTGGAGAGTGGCCAGGACCTTTCTTGGAGAGAGCTGGTATAGAGGGAGGAGCATCTCCAACTCTTATTTCCAGGCTGACCTCTGAGCCTGAATCTTGGACCAGGGAGGAGACAGCACTTCCTGTCACACTGCTAGAACTGAGGCATCAGGGGCCTGAGCAGAGGAGAAGAGGGGTGGGGAGACTGAGGCCTCCTTGAGGAGATTTGCCTGAGTGCTGTGTTCACTTTCTGTACTGTTACTCAATTCTCATTGGGTATTGGTACTGCGGGCTCCTTGTCTTTCCCAAGGGTGAGCTGCTTCTGGGGATCTCAGGCAGTCAGCACACAGCAAGCTATCCATGTGTCTGCACTGGGCTGTGCACAGAGCAAATACCATGACATTGCACATTCCCATTATACCAGGAATGACCACAGAAATCCTGTCAGTGTGTGCTTGACTTCAGGACAGTTGCAGGTTTGTACATCGGCCTGAAGGAAACTTGCCTGCCAGGTGGAGGGTCTCAGATCTGTGCAGGCATTGACTCACTTGACTGTTGTAGTTCTTACCATGTGTCAGAACTTAATTTCTTTTTTTGATTTTGTTTAAAATGTTTAATGTTGTTTTCACTAGTACATGTTTGCAGTACGTAATGAATATATTCATGGTGAATTGGTACATTGCATATATAGAATGGAAAATTAGGCTTCCTTGGGTGCATTATGATGAGATCTATAAGGCATTGATTGTTCTCACAGAGCCTTCTATGCAGCACACACTCCCTGTCCCCAGGCATTGCCCCCTTGAGGCCTGGCTCCCTCGGGATGACCCTTTCTCCATGAAAAGGCAGTGGGCAGCAGGGCACAGTGTGAGAGCCTAGCAGCATCTGTCCAGGGCAGGGTGAGTGTGTGTACAGTCAGGGAGGAGCCCAGGGCAGCTGATGCAGGTCAGGAGCTGTGGGATGTGTGTGTGGAGACTGAGAAGATGGTTCCTGCAGCTCTCATGGGCACAGGATCAGCATGGGGCTCTGTGCAGCTGCTACAGCTCGGGCAGGATCCTTGAGGACAGAGCGGGGCAGGTCTCACTGGGAGGGGCTTATCTTGCACACTGCCCCACTGACCCCACTCAAAGTTGGGGAGAAGTGGGGTTGCTGCACATCAGGGCAGTGTGGGAGGGAGGTCAGCACTGACCCTGTGGTCTCCACCCAGGCTGGGGTCCCTGGAATGATGGTCACAGAGTGATTCACTGGCCTCTCGTGGAGAAGCAACCTGCTGGTGGAGTTCAAACTCCCCTTGTCAGAGATACCAAACTGCCTTAAGACCTAAAGGTGGACCTCAGGGCCCAGGAGTTGAGTTTAGAGTTTGTTTTTCAAAACTGCTTAGTGAAGCTGGGTTAGGTGGTGCATATCTGTAATCCCTGTACTCAGGGAGGCTGAGGTAGGAGGATAGTAGGTTCAAGCGCAGGCTGGGTAACTCAGCTACTTAGTGAGCATCTGTGACAAAATTATAAACAAAAATTAAATGGGCTGGTGAGGTAGTTCAGTGAGAAGGTCCCAGGTTCAATCCCCAGTACTGAAAAACAAGGTACTGTTTGTAAAGTCCCTCAGACTGGAGGAATCTGCAGTGTGAGGGGCAAGACTGGACTCACCTCTAGGAACCTTCAGCTCCTGGTAACTGGAATGCTCTGAGATTTCATATTTTATAATAAAATTTAATGAGGATCTAGAGAACTTTTCTCCATGTTCATGTAGGAGAGGTGGGGCAGTGCTGTCCTGTCCCTCTGTCCTCTGAGATGTAATGGTTAGCCCTGGGCTACCCCCATGTGACCCCTGGATTCCTGTAGAGCTGCATTTCCCAGAGGTCACCGGGAGCTCTGTGCCCCTGGTCCTGGGTGTTCTGCCAGGTGGGAGAGGCAAACCTTACAAATCTCTGCCCATGCTCCTATGACTGTGACCCAGAAACCCCACTGGCAGGATTCCATCTTTAAAGATGAGGTTTAAAAATGCAAATGTTCCTTTCAGCTCTGTCATAGGCATGAAAAACCATAAACTGTCCCAAGCAGAGGTTGCTGAGACAACTGTGTCATGGTGTCCTTGGAAACTTTCAAAGGAATTAGTGTGACAGGGCCATGTCCCCAGTGCATACCTGAGCTGACAGGGGAGCTGTGGCCTGACACCCCTCCACCCACCCAGCAGCCAAGATACACCCTGAACCCTGAGATGCAGACTGAAGGGGGAGACCTTGGGAGTGGCGAACAGGCTTCTGGGGGGATGACTGCGACTGTGTCCTTTCTTTTATTCTTTCTTCATATTGCAGTAACTAATGACTATGTCTTATCTGACAAAAATAACTGTATCTTTTATGAAGCAGGTGAATGGTAACTGGATAGAATCAATCTAGGATCTTCTCTACTGCCTGAAGCAATATTCACCAGTCCCTTCCAGGATTTTGTGGCCAAGGAGAAATCTGATGGCCCTGACATGAAAAACATGGAGTAAGTCAATGATGGAGACATAAGATGAGTGGTGGCCCAGGACTGAGCAGAACGGGAGAGAGGGAAGGAGCCACTCATGGGTA